GGTCTGACTGCCTTGTAATTTATAATATAAAAAAGAAATCCTAACTCAAAATACTATCAAAGACCTGGAAGGTAAAGGCACAAAAAAGGACAAGACTGTTACAAAACAAAACAAAAAACCCTCCAAGATTTCAGTGCCTCACAGACAGCAGATGATGAACAGTCTACTAAGGCTCCATAAACCTAAAGGATCAATATACCCATAATGAAAATATCACCAATTTTGTCTGTTTATACAAACAGATAAAACAAATTTTAAACTAATGTACTTAATAACAAACCTCAAGTTTACCAACTTCTTTTAAAAGTGTATCAAACAGATCAGGGATCTAGCCACCAATGGGGAAACTACAGGACTATTTTTTTTGGGGGGGGAGGAAGAATACAAGACTTTGGGGATTAATAATAATAGTTTAGTTATTGTAAAAGTCATAAATCAAAAAGGAAATTATTATTTGAGACAATAGACTTCATGGAAATTAGAAAGTTCTTGCTCTTGTCAGTCTATAGAATGAGACAATAGAATGCATGTAGCTGACAATCGATTTTTATACAAAGTATACTGAAATCTACTACACAGTAATAAGAAAAACTCCCTTCAGCAAAGTAGCTGAATAAAAAATTAACTCAAAATCTGAAGCCCTCCTGTATACAAAAGACAAAAGGGCTGAAAAAGAAATTAGGGAAACAACACCCTTCACAATAGCCACAAATAATATAAAGTACTTTGGGGTGACTCTAACCAAGCAAGTAAAAAAAAACTTGTTTGAAAAAAACTTCAAGTCTCTGAAGGAAAATGTTGAAGAATGTACCAGAAGATGGAAAGCTCTCCCATGCTCATGGATCGGTAGGATTAACATAGTACAAATGTCATCCTACCAAAAGCAAACTACAGATTCAATGCAATTCCCATCAAAATACGGACACAATTCGTTACAGACCATGAAAGAACAATTCTCAACGTCACAAGGAAGAACAGAAAACCCAGAAGAGCTAAAACAATCCTGTAAAATAAAAGAAATTTTGGAGATACCTCCATCCCTGATGTCAAGTTGTATTATAGAGCAACAGTAAAAAAAATAACTGGCATAGAAGCAGACTGGAGGATCAGTGGAATCAAATCAAAGACCCAGAAATAAAACCATATACATACTGACACCTGATTTTTGACAAAGAAGCCAAAGGTATACAATGGAAAAATGGTAGCATTTTCAACAAATGGTGCTGATCTAACTGGACATCTACAAGTAGAAAAATGCAAATAGATCCATACTTATCACCCTGTACAAAAGTAAAATCCAAGTTGATCAAAGACCTCAACATAAAACCAGATACACTAAATCTGACAGAAGAAAAAAGGCGGAAGAGCCTTGAACTCATTGGCACAGCAGACAACTTCCTGAACAGAACACCAACAGCTCAGGCTCTAAGATCAACAATCAATAAATGGGACCTCCTGAAACTGAAAAGCTTCTGTACAGCAAAGGACAAAGTCAACAGAACAAAATGACAGCCTACAGATTGGAAAGCATCTTCACTAACCCTATATCTGACAGAGGGCTAATGTCCAGAGTATATAAAGAACTCAAGAAGTAAAACACCAACAAACCAAATAATCCAATTAAAAAATGGGGTACAGAGCTAAAGAGAGAATTCATTTTTGTTTTATTTCTCCTTTAATACCTGTCTACAGAGGTCAAAATTTAAATCCCAGATATATAGTTTTTATTTCTCCAGAATACATTTAGACTTCAACAACTATACAAATAAAAATAATTTGGTAGGTGTAGATTACCACTTGTCATTGAAAAGACAGGCAGTTATAGAGGATGACCAACAAATAGTCATGCATTGTCTGTGTGTGTGTGTGTGTGCCTGTGTGTACATTAGATTAAAAGGTTATAAAGAACCCTTATCTGGGATGCATCAAGAGAATAATCAAATTTTAGTTACATAATTAAAGTTATGAGATATGAACATGTAGTTTGGAGATTATATAAATAAAATTTTTTTCTCCAGAGTCACAGAATCAGTGATTAAACGAACACATATTTACAATATATGTTCTACAAATAAAATAAACATGTAAATACAAATAAATACACATATTTTAATATAGGTGCTACAACTAGTATTTGGCCCTAATTATTAGAAAGTTTTATTAAATATGTTCATTACTTTCTACCATTTTCAATTTTGCAAAGTAGGAACCAGGTCTGAAATATATGAGTTCCATTCACTTTTGCTGACTTTGAATTCTCAATAGAGGAATATTGAGTGGCAGAGAAACACTTAAAGAAATGCTCAATGTCCTTAGTCATCAGGGAAATGCAAATCAAAATGACTCTAAGAGTTCATCTTACACCGATCAGAATGGCTAAGATAAAAAATCAAAGTGACAACACATGCTGTAGAGGATGTGGAGAAAGAGGAACCCCCCTCCATTGGTGGGAGTGTAAACTTGCACAAGCACTTTGGAACTCAATCTGGCGCTTTTTCAGAAAACTGGGAATAGTGCTACCTCAAGACCCAGCTATACAACTCCCGGGCATATACCCAAAAGATGTTCAACCGTACAAGGGCATTTAATCAACTAACTTCATGGCAGCTTTATTCATAATAGCCAGAATCTGGAACCGACCTAGATGTCCCTCAACAGAAGAATGGATACAGAAATTGTGGTACATTTACAGAATGGAATACTACTCATCTATTGAAAACAAGGAAATCATGAAATTTTCAGGCAAAGGAATGGAACTAGTAGAGATCATCCTGAAAGAGGTAACCCAGAAGCAGAAAGACATGCATGGTGTATCCACTTATAAGTGGATATTAGCCATATAATATAGGATAGACATACTAAAATTTACAGACCTAAAGAAGCTAAACAAAAAGACCCTAGGGAAGATGCTTAATTCTCATTCAGAAGATAAAAAAGGATAGACCCTGGAAGTGGTACAAGAGAAAAAACAGGATGGGAGCCTACCACAGATGTCCTCTAAAGACTCCACCCAGCAGGGGATTGAAGCAGTGAGAGACTCACAGCCAAGCTTTGTCATAGTACAGGAAGTCTTATGGAAGAAGGGGGTTATAAAAGGACCTGGAGTGGACAGGAGACACACAAAGGGACCAACAATGCAAAAATAAATAAATAAATAAATAAATAAATAAATAAATAAATAAATAAATAAAGAAATAAAGTAAGTAATAAATAATAAGAGCTGGACTCAGGGAGGACTGCAAAGACTGATGAGATCCATCAAACAAAGACAGTGCATAGAGAGGCCCTAGACCCCTTGCTCAGATGTAGCCCATAAATAGCTCAGTCTTTATGTGGGTTAGGGGCTGCAACCAGGATACAAGTATTGTAAAAAATTAAATTAAAAAAGACAAAGGAGTTCAGTGACCCATAAACACAGGCAAAAGCACTCAGAAGCATTAAAAGCAAATGGGATATAATTACCCCACTATTCTAAAATGTGACAACAGCAAGTACTGACAAATGTAAAGCATGGAATGTTTTATACATTGCCACAGAGAGCGCAATGAAGCAAAACAGCTCAGCATTCTCTCATTTAAGACTTTAGTTACTATCCTCCCAACAGTTTTATTCTTACTTGTTTATGCAACAGAAAGAAGAAGAAATGTGTTGGGAATCCTAAGACTTAGGAATTCCTAAATTCTTATTTGTAACACTCCAAAACTGGAAAAACTCCAATGTTTATCAATTAGTAAGTAGATAAACTCATTTTAAAGCACAAAATGTAATAACATTTGGTACTAAACAACTTATCATAAAGAGATAAATGAATTAAATCAATAAGCCAACTGAAAGAAGGCTGACAAAAATCAGTAGACATTGAATAGGATATAAAACCTAAAATAAAAATTTGAAAAGCATAAAAATGTTTGCTGGTGGCAGGATGGGATAAATTATGTATAGAAATGTGGAGATTTCTGAGATAACAAATGTATTTTCTTTCATCCTAACTTGCAATGTAGTTTTATCAGAATATAAACTTGAAAAACTAATTAAAATGTGCATTCTGATCGTTTTTATTGAATTTTGGCAACATAAACAAATTATCTCAATGAAGTCAAAATGAAAACTAACTTGAGAAAAATATAGACAAAAGCCCCAAGTTCCTATTTTATTAAAAAATAGAAATATATTAAGACTTATTAAAAGCAAACTATGAATAACTGCTAAGAACCATTAAGAACCATTTAGGTTTAAAAAAATCTAAGCTTCTGAAAGGAATATTTGATGTTCAGTTTGAAAATGAAAACACTTAAAGAGAATACAAGGTCCAGCACACTGCAGAAACAGTCTCTAAAGACTCCTTTCTATGGAAAGATTCACACCTTTTTTTGACAATGGATATCTGAACCCTGCTTCTGAAGTCCTAAGAGAATATGAGGCCCTGAGAACAAGTCCGCCTTTTTCATTAGAAAGGGGCAAGAAGCAAAGACCTCCATCAAGGCACTTACTGTCATTATTAAACCCGAAGCCAATTTTGTCAGCTTAGGAGATGTACAGACAGAGCAGAACTGAGTGTGAAACTCAAATCAGGAAGAGAAGGACATGATTCATAACAGAAGTGAAGGATCGTGGTATAAAGAGGTCTTCAATTGAGGGGTAGTCTTCCTACCCCTGTTTCTTGTTACACATTTGTCACAAAAGCCATTCTAGGTGGTTAAGCACTTCAATAGCAAGATCTGGGAAAATGTAGGCAAGGGCTTATACAACCCAAAAGGCAACCACAAGCAGAAAAAAAAAAGTGAATTTCTTCAAATATATATCCTCTACCGATGAAGACAGGCCATATTGATAATAATGATAAAAAAAAAAAACCTGCCTAAAATGGTCAGGCAGTTATGAGTATTTTAAGTGTATATAGCTAACTGATATTCCCCAAAATGTTAATATCATGTGAACCCTCCGCCCTCCACTGTGTCTTAAGAGTAAAACTGGTAAAACAATCACATCACTATGCATACCTCATGTTCTCAGCTGAATCTTCTGGCATTGGGGCTACGGTTTGTACAGCTGGAAGATTTTTGCTGGTAGCACCATTCACAAAACTAGAAGAGGAGGAAGAGGAGGAGGACCCTGAATCCACAGCACCTGTTCCCAAAATAATAATTTTAGTTTTAAATATAAATTTATTTAACAAAATAATTTTATTTCTTCATTTTTATTTGATTTTCAAAAATAACTCATCAAAAATTGTAATGATAATCTGACAATTTAAAATTATTTGGTCATTAGGATACCAGTAAATTGCATGATTTTAATTAATGGATATTATATTAAAATCCAGTTGGTTTACTTATGTTAATCTAACAAAATTACATGTTACAAATGCGTATAAATAAAAACATAACAGATGAAAAAAACTTCTACATTAAGTGAGGCTGATAAAATGATGCAAATTTAAATGTGATATTTTTATCCCCCTTTTATTGCTATGTTGTAATATTCTTAGACCTCATGCTCTAAGGCATAATTTGCAGAGCACTGGGAACATAATTTTGTCATTTTGCAACATTAAATTCTGACTTTGATAAAATGATTGCTTCAGAATGTCTATCATGAGTTTAATAGTACCTGATTTTAAAATAATGAGTTCTCCTCAATGATATGAAAATGCCACCTTAGAGAAGATTTTTCTGTAATAAGTCATGTGAGTACATCAAAGAGCTGTGGAGTTGAGGGACATCTAGTGTTCCGAAGTATTATATCTTAGGCTAATTCCAGCACAGTGAATTGTTCACTGGATTCTTACTGTGACTGCTACAGAGTGCTATGAGCCAAATGTCAGCTCACACTAGTATCTCTGTGGTCAAATATTAAGGAGGAAGGTCATTAGTTACAGTTTTCACTATAATATATATTTATACTATCAAAATTTATACTGTTATACAACAATTACTAATTTTTAAAACAGAAGTTAGAAAACATAACTTGTCTCAGACAAAGCCAAAACATGCTTTAATCTTTTCATTTTACTGCAGTCGGAAAAATGAGGACTTAGTTTACTAGACATCACTAAGTTATATTCTACTATGCTGTTATACTTTTAAAGTTGAAGAAAGTAAAATAATAAATTTTACAATGCCATGGTGCTGCTCACTGACTGAGACAAGTACACTTACTACACCCCAAAAATGTGTGGTTCATGGCATGGCAGACTCAGGTGGCATGACAAACAAGATAGATACAGAAAGCACAAAAAAGAGCTATAAAAATCAATCGAAATGGGAAGAATCTAAGTAATGATAATAAATGGAAAAGTTCAAGGCTATACAGTTTGGAGAACAGAAGACTACTATAGTCAGGGAAGGGAAGTCAGGGATCATCTTGCGTTGTATAAATACCTAAAATGGAATCACAAAGATTTTTGGTAAGGAACATTTCTGGAAATGAGAGAGAAAGAGAGAGAGAGAGAAAGAGAGAGAGAGAGAGAGAGAGAGAGAGAGAGAGAGAGAGAGGTTGATTTTAGTCAGACTTTAAAAATTTATAGTGATTTGGATTTGTGGTCTAGAATCACAGAAAATAGCTGGACAGTGGATTAATTTATATTCTTAGGTTATAACTATATCCAATTAATCTATAAATTAATTCAGTGTGAAATGATGGTCCTTATTCATATGCTCTTTTAATGAAGTTGAGTTTCCTGCATTTCATCAAGGTACTTAGAGAATTCTGCCCTTTTTGAAGGATTTAGCAAAGGATACATCTTAGGGTTGAGTCTGAAAAATCCATGCTCTAGCACTAACATGTTTGATGCACCTTGACATGCTTTAAATGTTTATTTTCACCTGTCACTCTCCAGTGTCTAAATCAGCTTTTGCTCCCCAAATGTATTCTAATAATTTGATTTACCCTGAGAATAGAATATAATGTTTGGAGACAATTCAAAACAAAAACCCGAACTGTCTCCTGAAATGACTGCTCTGTCTCCTACAGCCAGCACAAGATCTGAGATGTCACACAGGGTACAGCACACTAAAGACTAAACTAACCATACGTGTTCTGGGATTTTTAATTGGTAAGATCAAATGAGAAAATGAAGATACATCAAACGGAGAAAAAAGGATGAAGCTTCACAAAAGTCTATAAGGACGATACCTGTCGTGTTAATCATACTTTTTGGTGTAGCTCCAGGGGCAGCAAATATACTTGAGGTACTGCCTGTTGGCAGCCCGCTTCCCGCAGCAGTGGCTCCCACAGTGGTGACAGCTAGACTTCCTGGCGGTGGCTTCTTGACAGGCACCACCACACTCCTGCAGAGAAAGACAGAAAACAACACCAAAGCTTGAGATAACGTCTGTTCCCATGATGGACCAGCAGACACAAAAAGCCAACATGGAGTCAAGCTCGGCTTCTTCTCATCAGTCCTTTCCTCTCTTCCTTGACTCTCCGCACTGTTAGCTTGCAAACCCAACTTTACTGGAGAAAAGAATACAGAATTTAAACAAACACTTAGAAGTTTCTGACATTAAACATTTATTTGGTAAACAATATTGTAGAATCTGAAGTTTGCAATTTTTTTGTTGTTTTTGTTGCTGCTTTTCAAGACAGGGTTCCTCTGTGTTGCCTTTGCTGTCCTGGGCTCGTTTTGTACAGCAGGCTGGCCTTGAACTCACAGAGAATTGACTGCCTCTGCCTCCCCAAGTGCTGGAATTACAGGTGTGCACCACCACCTCCAGCTATTTGTAAATCTTTTAAAATGGTAAATGAAAAATCATCACAAATCAGAGAACAGGGGCTGTAATACAAGTAAAATGGACATAAAATTGGACTACCAATCATTTATTGGGCTAAAGGAGAGAACTCTCTCCCCCAAATCCTCAATTTCTAGGCAGAGCACGCACATGTGCGCGTTTCTGAGCACTTGCACACACCCTCATATATACATATTATAAAAATTGTCATAAAATTATGAAAAAGTAGAGACCATTTGACAACCAAACTAGAAAATATGATGCTGAAAATGAAGTGAGAGATAAGAAAACACACCAAGGGAATAACAGGTTTGTATTTTAGTCCTCTCATCAAAGTTGCTTTATATAACACAAGAAAATTCAGATGATACCACACATATATAGCTAAAGTACAACTTAACTTTTGTGCCTTAACTTTAGTAACACAGAAATTCACTATTTTCTCATATTTAGCCAACATTTTCAAATGAATTTCACCGAAGGAATCTTGAGCATTATGTTATCTCAACCTCAAATAATAAACATTTGTGTATATTGCTCAATTTTAAAATGTGAATTTCTAAAATATAATCAATATCGGTATTTCCTTGCTATGAAGGCACATTTATCTAAATTTATAGCACTTCAAACTTCATTTTATAAACATCTCCCAAGTACTGCTCACTATGTTTGATTACAGAAGATTCATGAGATACCTAAGTTCAAATGCAGAGCATGAAAAATAGTGACTGACGGCATGAAAATCTTCAATGTACACTCATTTAATGCCTGTATATGTTATTATTAACATGGCCATTTATTACTATTTACTTATTTTTCTGAGCTGTCCTTGTCCAGCTGTCATTTTTATCCTCATACAGGTAAAAACCAGAGGCCATCAATATGGCTCCTCTTTAGCAGGTTAGTAGCAATACTTCCATGAAATGAAGAGTTGTCACCTGCTTTGTACTTTCGATAAAATTTAAAACCATTCAGCGAAACTATATGAACATAACATTCTCAAGTTCAAAATTCTAACTTTTCTTAACACAAACTCTTATTTTTCAAAGAGGAGATTTTGTTAATTTCGTAATTAGCATTTTCAATGTTGAAAATTTAAATTTTTGATGATTGCTCTTACAAATTTTTGAGACCAAAGTTACTATACTCTTAAATAATATTAATTGTGACATAAAAATTTCCCTACTTTATTTCTGAGGATACTTTTTTCTTCTTCTAGTGATGACAAAACGAATCTTGAAGGCCAAACTCTCTGATCACCTAAACACTGACTGTCTTTTTAATCTACCCTTGGTATTCTCTCATCTAGTGTTTCCATTTACTTTTCCAAGATGAAGTATGCTATTGTAGAAAGAATACACAATGAGATATCAGAGAACTAAGAGAGGGATTGAATCATCTTCAAGATGTATGATTCTAATTCCAGTTTCTTACTATCAAAGATGGTACTTATATATAACTTGGAAGATTAAAGGAAGACACATTCAGAATGATCTGATCAACTATGAGGTTCCTTACAACTATTAACAACTGTTATCACTCTCTAAATGCAACAAATTTACTACCTATAGAATCTGAGGTATCTAGTTCAAACATATATAAAGGTAAAAAACAAGAGAAGATACTGATACATGTGGTTTATCATCGAACCTCTTGAGGATTAAAAATAATCTAAAGTATGCTATTTCTTTGGAATTGTTACAAGAAAACAAAAACATCAATTCTTTTTAAATGAATTAACTTTATATCCTGATCATAGGCCCCCTCCTCTCCTCCTGGTCCTGCCCTCCCTCCCTCTTCCCCTATTCTCCTCCCTTATTCCTCAGGTAACAGCAGCCCCTCCTCTCCCCACCCACCCCATCTCATTAACTTGCATTAGAATTGAGCATAGTCCCCTTCCCCTGTGGTCTGGCGAGGTAGCCCATGCCAGGGTGAAGTGATCAGAAAGCAGACAACAGAGTCCAGGCCAAAGACAGCCTCTGCTTCCCTTGCTAGGGAACTCACATGAAGCCTCAGATGCACATTTGCTACATCTGTCTAGGGGGCCTAGGTCCAGTCTATGTATGGTCCTTGATTGGTGCTTCAGTCTCTGTATGTCCCTCTAGGCCCTAGTTACTTGGCTCTGTTGGACTTCTTGTGGAGCCCCTGGTTCTTCTGGATCCTTCTTTCCTTCTTCCCACTTTTCCACAAGACTCCCTATGTTTTGCCCAATGTTTGGCCATGAGTCTCAGCATCTGTTTCAATCCACTCTTAAAAGGACAGCTATGCTAGGTTCCTGCCTTGTTCACTCTCCTCAGACACTTCCGTAATTTATTCTATTTCCCCTTCTGAGTGTGATTTCTGCATCCTCCCTTGGGTCCTCCTTTTTACTTAACTGCTTTAGGTCTAAAAACACCAATTCTTCATTTGGAAATACATTATTAGTAAAATTATTCTGTGTTTTTCTGCATCTCTCAAAGTTCGTGTTGATAAAGAAATATGGGTCCCTTGCAGCTGTGTGCAAAGAAAGCCTGGTTCAAAGCAGAGCCACAAGCTCCTGTAATCCCAGCACTGGGCACTGGGAAGCAGAGACAGGAGGGTTCCAGGACTTTACTAGTCAGCACTTTTGCCAAATTGGCGAGCTCCAGACCAGTAAAAAACATTGTCTAGAAAACTACGATGTAGCAGGTGAAGTGGAATTTCTGGTTTCATTGGAAACTCAATTGTGTCATATGAATGTTTTGTTTTGTTGTTTTGTTTTGCTTTGATCCAAAATGTGGGAATGTTTCGCCCCCAACAGAAACAGCCCCCTTGAAAAGGTATGATGTTTGTCAGCTGAAAATTACCTCCTGTGAGTGGCATGGGTTTTGTGAGCTGGAAAACATCCTCATGTGGACTCTGAGAAGGGATAAACAGAAGCCCACAGACAGTGATAAAATACTTTTTTTCATTGCTATTCTTTGCCTTGGTTTGGATCCTTTCCTGGTCTTCTCAGTGAGAAGGAAAAAAGTTTATCACTAACATGCAAAAATCTCAAACATCTGCAGCATGGTGAAGCCCACCATCGATGGCACTGGGCTTTGGAAAGCACAGCAACTGACAGCACACCTTTAGGTATCCCAGCCTGGGTTAGAAGTCTAGATCTGACAACTGCTAGCCGTGTGGTATGAAACACGTGAGTACCTGTCAATTCATTTCTCTTCATTATTACAATAAAATTCCCAATGGTTTATACTGCACAAAACTGCTGTCAAACTGCGTGGTGCAGCACCTACATATTACGAATCATCATTGCACTTTATGCTATTGATATTACCATGGAACCCTCAAAAGTGCTGGTATCAGCAGCCCATGTCTACATCAACAATTGTACCCTGTTTGAAAGAAACTACAATCCTGTGACATTTTGTCCTTGTTGTCCTCATAAGTAAAAACCTATGGGCAGTTTGAGGCTATGTATTTCAACAGTAACAATGAATAATATATCTTAAAGGAACACTTAAAATAGAACATAAAGAAAACAGTATTATGAAGCCTAAAAGGTCTAAAAAACATAGAAAAAATGTAGTAACTTTGAAAACTTCTAAAAATATGTAATAAAATAAAACACCCATGTATCTGATACTATCAAGTTAGGACCAACAGCCCAGAGAAATCTCTGTAATACTTAGCAATTTCCAATAACAGGTATGCTCAAATGGCTGATGACCATGCGACAAGGATTCAACTGATGTGAAGAGAAAGGTGAGTTTGACTGATTTCACAGATATTTTTCTTCATCAATAACTTTATAAATTTGTGAAGACAAATTGTTTTAGTTAATATGATCAAATTATTTGCTAAGATCACAATACTGAATATTCCTGTGCCTGGGTCTCACAGTCTTACTCCACTCCAAAGCTAGATAGGGAGTTTTCCAATACCTTGATCACCTTTCCAAGGATGCCATGCAAACACTGCCACAGGAATAGCTCTCTTGCTTCTCCAGAGACTGCCTAATACCACCCTGCTTTCCCCAGGACCCTATGCTGGCTCTATCTATCATTTTTTCCTCCCTGGGACACTGAGATCCTGATAGGCCTTCTTACACTGGAATCCATGATAAACTTACTTCTGGTTAGGGTCCTCTCCTTTTCACTCACAGGAAATTCATGAAGACCCTGCCGTTACTAGGCCCCCTTGTCACCTCTATTTTATGGCTGGTTCTGCAAAAAGTGATCAGTCCATGCAGAAACCTGACCCAGCTTTAATACAGTGATTAAAGTCTTGGCTGGAGCAGTAAGACAGAAGAAAGAAATAAAAGAGATACAAATAGAAAAAAATTTCAGAGACCTCCTGATATAATTCTATATAAGAGACCATAGAGACTCACCCATACCACTCCTAGAACTAAATTAATATTTTCCAACAAAGTTTTGGAAAACAAAATTATCATACAGAAATCAATGTTCATTCTCTATACAAATAAAAATTTCATTTCACAATAGCCAAAAAAAAAAAAAAAAAAAAAAAAAAAGCCCAAGGAGATGAACGCTTTCTACAGTGAAGCTTTAATCACAATGGAATAATATTCAGCAATTAAAAACAAGGAAATCATGAAATTTACAGGCAAATGGATGTAACTAGAGAAGATCATCCTGACTGCGGTAACCTAGAAGCAGAAAAATACACACAGTATGTACTCATTTATAAACGGATATTAGCCATATAATACAGGATAACCATACTACAATCCACAGACCTGAAACAGCTAAATAACAAAGAGGACCCTAGGGAGGATGCTTAATTCTCATTCAGAACAGCAAGCAGAACAGACATGGGAAGCAGTTGAAGAGAGGGAACAGGATGGGAGTCTACTATAAATGTCCTCTAAAAGACTCCATCGAAGCAGATGCCAAGACTCACAAGCAAACTTTGGGCAGAGTGCAGGGAGTCCTAGGAAAGAGTGGGGGAATAAAAGGACCCAGAGCTGAAAGGAGCTCCACAAGAAGACCAACAGAGCCAACAAATCTGGGCCCATGGGAGCTGCAGAGACTGATGCACCAACCAAGGACCAAGCATGAAAGGGACCTAGACCTCCTGATCGGATGTAGCAATATGCAGCTCAATCTCCAAGTGGGTTCCCTAGTAAAGAGAGCAGGGTCTGTCTCTGACATAGACTCTGTTACCTGCTCTTGGATCACTTCCCCCGAGTAGGGGAGGTGGCGCCTTCCAGGCCACAGAGAATGAGGACGCAGACAGTCCTAATGAGATTTGATAGGCTGGGGTCAGATGGTAAGGGAGGAGGGCTCCCCTTTCTGAGGACTAGGGGAGGACTAGGCTAAGAGGAAGGAAGGGTGGGACACTACAATCAGGATGTTAAGTGAATAAATTATAAAATTATAAAAAAGAAATTTAAATTAAAATTTCTCTGAAGACATTGAAGAAGACACTAAAAGACAGAAAGTTCTCTTTTGTTCATGGATTCATAGAATAGTATAAAAACGACCTAATAAGTGAAACTAAAAATCTTCTAGACCAAAAAAGAAACAGTGAATGGAATGAAAAGGCAACTGACAGAACACCAGTGGAATGTCCTTGCTAGTTTTGCACCAACTAGGCACAAGCTGGAATCCTTGTCGGAGAGGAAGCCTCAACTGAGAAGATGCCTTCCTAAGTCATGGCTATAGGGAATCCTGCGGGGCATTTTCTTAAATAGTGACTGATGTGGTTGTGCTTGGTCCACTGTAGATGGGGCAACCCTTGGGCAAGTAAAGCTGGGTTATACAAGACAGCAAGCTGAGTGTGCCATGAGGAGCGAGCCAATAAGCAGTACCCTCCAATGGCCTTTACATGAGCTTCTGCCCTCCAGGTTCCTGCCCTGTTTCGATTTCCTGTCCTGACTTCCTTCAGTGATGGATCATGATATGGAAGTGTAAACCCAATAACCTTTTCCTGCCCAACATGCTTTTTGGTCATAGAATTTT